TATGAATGATGCTGAAATTAATATCTTTGTATGAAAATTCTCTGTATTTGAGAATGTTTTCTTAGGAGAGGCTCCCAGAAATTACATTTCAATCCAGGAATATAGGTGGCCTACATGGAAGAGCTTTCCTGATAGCTCAGTTGGTAAAAGAATCACCTCCAGTACACGAGACACCTGTTCGATTTCTGGGTTGGGAAGAACCCCTGGAGAAGGGATAGGCTATCCGCTCCAGTATTCTTGGGTTTCCCTGGTGGCTCGCTGGTAAAGAATATGCCTACAATGTGGGCAACCTGGTATCCCTGGATTGGGAAGATCCCCTGGAAAAGGGAAAGGCTACTCACTTCAATATTCTGGCCTGGAGAATTCCATGGACTGTGTGGTTCATGGGGTAGCCAAGAGTTGGACACGACTGATATTCACTTTCACTTTCACATGGATATGTAACATAGTGTATTTTGCTAATTTCTCGCTTGTATAGTTTGAAGGAAGAGGTTGCAGATTTTGGGGGAAAATAGAGATGGGTTTGATTTAGATCCATCGAGTAGAGGTAGTTCAGAGAAGGCAATGGCACCCCACTCCAATACTCTTGCCTGGAAAATCCCATGGACGGAGGAGCCTGGTAGGCTGCAGTCCATGGGGTCGCAAAGAGTCAGACACGACTGAGCGACTTCACTTTCACTTTTCACTTTAATGCATTGGGGAAGGAAATGGCAACCCACTCCAGTGTTCTTGCCTGGAGAATCCCAGGGATGGCGGAGCCTGGTGGGCTGCTGTGTATGGGGTCGCACAGAGTCGGACACCACTGAAGCGACTTAGCAGCAGCAGCAGTAGAGGTATTTCCAGGAAACCAAAGTGCAGCCACCCAAGAGATAATGTAGATTTGTGAAGAAGGGCTCATGTATCCCTGCAGTGACATTGCTTAAGAAAATTTAGCAATAAATGTGTATATCTTACCACAGTTAACAGCATCAGTCACAGTCCTGTGGTCTCAAAATCATTTTCTTTTTCTTCTTTCCTCCTATCAACTTTCCCATCAAATTTGATTCATTCATGTGATAAAATGAAACTGATTCAGCTAAACTCTTCATGAAAAAATTAAGTAATAACTTCACACTCCTTTTTTAACACTAAAGATGTGATATATTAAACAATTTCTAGATTCAGGGAGGGGGTAATTTATACCACATAAGTTACTTTCTCATTTGCCTTATTGTAACATCTCTCATATTAAAAAATAAGCAAGAAAAATATCTGTCAACCATTGGATCAATTTATAACACTAAATGGTTTATTAGATTCTACACATGGACATCACCAGATGGTCAATACCGAAATCATTGGTTATATTCTTTGTAGCCAAAGATGGAGAAGCTCTGTACAGTCAGCAAAAACAAAACTGGGAGCTGACTGTGGCTCAGCTCATGAACTCCTTATTGCCAGATTGACTTAAATTGAAGAAAATAGGGAAAACCACTAGACCAATCAGGTATGACCTAAATCAAATCCCTTATGATTATACAATGGAGTGACAAATAGATTCAAGGGATTAGATCTGATAGAGTGCCTGAAGAACTATAGACGGAGGTTCATGACATTGTACAGGAAGCAGTGATCAAGACCATCCCCAAGAAAAAGAAATGCAAAAAGGCAAAATGGTTGTCTGTGGAGGCCTTTACACATAGCTGAGAAAAGAAGAGAAGCTAAAGGCAAAGGAAAAAGGAAAGATATATCCATTTGAATGCAGCATTCCAAAGAATAGTAAGCAGAGATAAGAAAGCCTTACTCATTGATCAATGCAAAGAAACAGAGGAAAACACTAGAATGGGAAAGACTAGAATCGCTTCAAAAAATTAGAGATACCAAGAGAATATTTCATGCGAAGATGGGCTCAATAAAGGACAGAAATGGTATGAACCTAACAGAAGCAGAAGACATTAAGAAGAGGTAAGCAGGAATACACAGAAGAACTATACAAAAAAGATCTTCATGACCCAGATAAGCATGATGGTGTGATCACTCACCTAGACATCCTGGAATATGAAGTCAACTGAGTCTGAGGAAGCATTACTATGATCAAAGTTAGTGGAGGTGATGGAATTACAGTTGACCTATTTCAAATCTTAAAAGATGATGCTGTAAAAGTGCTGCACTCAATATATCAGCAAACTTGGAAAACTCAGCAGTGGCCACAAGATTCGAAAAGGTCATTTTTCATTCTAATCTCAAAGAAAGGCAATGCCAAGAATGTTCAAACTACTGCACAATTACACTCAGCTCACACACTAGCAAAATAATGCTTAAAATGCTTCAAGTTAGACTTCAACAGTAGTTGAATAGTGAACTTACAGATGACACCACCTTTGTGGCAGAAAGTGAAGAAGAAGTAAAGAGCTTCTTGATGAAAGTGAAAGAGGAGAGTGAAAAAACTGGCTTAAAACTCAGTGTTCAAAAAGGAAGATTATGGCATCCAGTCCCATCACTTCATACCAAATAGATGGGGAAACAATGGAAACAGTGAGAGACTTTATTTTGGGGGATCTCCAAAATCACTGCAGATGGTGATTGCAGCCATGAAATTAAAAGACACTTTCTTCCTGGAAAAAAAGCTTTGACCAGCCTAGACAGAATATTAAAAAGCAGGGACATTACTTTGCTGGCAAAGGTCCATCTAGTCAAAGCTATGGCTTTTCCAGTAGTCATGTATGGATGTGAGAGTCAGACTATAAAGAAAGCTGAGCACCAAAGAATTTTTGCTTTTGAATTGTGGTTTTGGAGAAGACTCTTGAGAGTCCCTTGGACTGCAAGGAGATCCAACCAGTCCATCCTGAAGGAAATCAGTCTTGAATATTCATTGGAAGGGCTGATGCTGAAGCTGAAACTCCAATACTTTGGCCACCTGATGAGAAGAACTGATTCCTTGGGAAAGACCCTGATGCTGGGATAGATTGAAGGCAGGAAGAGAAGGTGATGACAGAAGACGAGATGGTTGGATGGCACCACCAACTCGATGGACATGAGTTTGAGCGAGCTCTGGGAGTTGATGATGGATAGGGAATCCTGGCGTGCTGCAATCCATGGACACAACTGATCAACTGAAATGAACTGAATGGTATATTGCAATTTTCTGTTAATGTATCTTTTCACTGAACTGGGAGGGAATGTGAATCCCATAAAGATAGAATCTGTATCAAGATTTCTGGCCCGCCTTCTTTCCTTCCTCTGTTTTTTCTTCCCTTCTTCCCTTTTTCCTTCCTTCCTTTTCTCTCCGTTTCTTCCTTCCTCTCTGCCTCCCTTCCTTCTGAGTAAGTCTCTTAAGTGTGCTCAATGTGCCCTGAACTGAGAACTCAGTGGTCACAGATAAGTTTTCTGCTTCCTTAGAGTAATTGTTCTAGTGGGGAGAAGAGATCACTTAGACAAAGAATACATGAAGAAGATACTCAGATGCTGGTGGCGAATATGAAACCAATATACAAGGTCACATGAAGGAAAGTGATCGAGGGTGGGCTGGGCATGAAGGGTGCTGCTGAGGAAGTCATGTTTGAACACCTGGATGTAATTTAAAGCCATAGAATGAATGACATCAGAGAGAGCAAGGAGTGTTGGTGTGAAAATTTAGAAAATTTGTCTTAACAAATGCTCCTGTGAAAGAAACAGAAAAAGATGCTGGAAATTGAAGGGATATAGGAAGCTAATAAGTAGTTATCTATTACCTATCATCATCATTATCATCATCACCCACCTATCTATCTAATCTACCTACCTATATATTTCTTTCCTCCTTATTGGTAGTAGGAGATATTGGAGCAGTGGATTTGCTAATAGAGATGATCCAATAGAGAAAAAAGGCTGATGTGAGGTGTTGACAATATATCTGCAGGAAAAAAAATGTCCTCAAGAGGATGAGAGAGTTGGGGTCAGTGTGATATTGCAGTTTTCCCCCCAGCTTCACTGTACTTGTTACCTAAAGATTAAAATAATACTGAATAAAGAAATTTTCTCAGCAGTTAGTAAAGCTTTTATGTTAAAATGTGGTTTGTCATTACTGACAGCAGCATTATACTTTGATTCATTGTAGTATATACACAGGGGACTTCCCTCGTAGCTCAGCTGGTAAAGAATCTATCTGCAATGCAGAAGACCCGGGTTCAATTCCTGGGTCAGGAAGATTCCCTGGAGAAGGGATAGGCTTCCCACCCCAGTATTCTTGGACTTCCCTGGTGGCTCAGATGGTGAAGAATCTGCCTGCAATGCAGGAGACCTGAGTTTGATCCCTAGGTTGGAGTACTTAGCTAGCCTGTGATGGTGCTTAGTTATTTTCTGTAGTAGTTATTTCATGTAGTAGTTATTTTCTGTTTGACCCTAAGCTCCTAAAATAATCCTGGTGCCCCACTGAGGTCTGAATATCATAAGCTTGGAACCAATATTATCATAGATTATTGAAGCATCAGGGGACAAAAAATTGTGAAGTGTGGTGGTTCTTCTCATTGATTATCATGATCACCTAGGAAAGTTTAAAAACAAACACCCCAACAATATAACACTGCAGATCTATTTGAGCATCACTTGGATGGAATTAGAGAGTAAGGATCCTGAAATTAATCAGTATTCTCCCCATATTTCCAGTTGAATCTCTCTTCAGACAGTGGAGAAATATTGTTTTGTTAAGTTCATAATTCCGTGTATCACCAAATCAGGACATAAAGTGATACTGCAATGAGAAACTAGTTGGAAAAATGAAAACTCAGCACAACTAGAAAACATCAGCCTGAAATAGATGAGATGATAATATAATTGAAATGTTTAGAATCAAGGGGACAATCCATAGTTCCAATATTCTATACTACTCCTCTTAGATTCTGAGTGTTCTAGAAGTAGAAATTGTGTCTAAATTCTTGGACTCTGATATGGCATGTATGGTGGGCAACTGGAACTCTGTTAGCCAGTGCACAGGAAGTCGTTGAATTTTCTCCCATTCTTATGAAATGTGCAATACTTTTCAGTATACTTCTGCTCTGACATATGACGCTGTTCAAGTGATGACCGAAGCTTTTCGAAACCTGCGGAAGCAGAGAATTGAAATCTCCAGAAGGGGAAATGCAGGAGACTGTCTGGCAAACCCAGCGGTGCCCTGGGGACAAGGTGTAGAAATAGAAAGGGCCCTCAAACAGGTCAGTCACTCAAAATGCTTGCGATGCAACTTAAGGGTGGCCACTATTTTTTTCCTGTTGAGTTAGTCATTCTTATCTTATACCTTCTGTTTTATGTAGAGGGAATATTATTTCCTACCTCCACAAAGGTGAGTTGAAGAGCAAAAAGAAAACTAATGAGTGTCATTTTCTTGACTTACATCCTGGGAGAGTCCTCTGGTCAACCAGTTTGTGTCTGGTTGAAGAGATTTATAACTGTATCCTTTCCCATTTCCTTATTAGGTGCAGGTCGAAGGTCTTTCAGGAAATATCAAGTTTGACCAGAATGGAAAAAGGATAAATTACACAATTAACATCATGGAGCTTAAAACGAATGGGCCCCGGAAGGTAAATCATTAGTGAATTGAGGGCTTTCTGTCTGTGTGAGGAGGTGGGTTAGTGGACCCACCATCTCATCTTCCAGAGTCCTGGAGACGTATTCATATAGATGGACTCCACAACTCCAGAAACGTATATTTTAAAATCTTTTTTTCTAAATAAAATCTATTTCTGGTAAGTAATACCGAAACAATTTTAAAATAACTATGACTAAAACGATTGTACTTTTTTTTTTTTTTTAAGACAGAGGTAGAAAGAGTATAATGAGAAGAAAAACAACTATAGCTGAAAGATTATGGGTCTGGAGACCAGACATAGCCGGTGAAATGTGCATGTAACTTTCAAGTCAACATTTTTTTTCTCCTTTTGTGGCTAAAATGCCATTGTTTGAATTTTATATATGCTTCTATATGATCACACCCATAAAAATTACCCTTGGGGAATATGAAAAGTGAACATGAAGAGACATGCCGTTTTTAGGAATGGTTTTTGCAGTGCCTTTCTATTCTTATTTGATTCGCATACCTAAAAGATATATGTCTTTTTTCTTCTCTGATTGCCATGGCTAGGATTTCCAAAGCTATGTATTTAGGACAAGTCTGGTTAGGATAGGTATAATTTCAGATTCAGACATGGGTTTGAAAATAATTCAGTGCTTTGGTAATAGAAAGGCCATGTATCCAAGTTCACTCTTTCTGTGTCCTTTTTCAGATCGGATACTGGAGCGAAGTTGACAAAATGGTTGTTACCCTTACTGAACTCCCTTCTGGAAATGATACCTCTGGGCTTGAGAATAAGACTGTTGTTGTCACTACTATTTTGGTAATTAGCTACATATGCCTCTGTTTGACATTATTTTTTCTTTAGAAAAACATCTGCCAACTAGTATATCTGCTTATATTTTAGGACAATAACTGATATGGTGATGCTTTTGAATGTTTCAGTCATTTACTGCATGTTATTCTATTTAAAGGGATCATCAACATGAGCTAAAGCATTCAAAATATTTCCTCTCCTCTTCAAGAATGAATTTTAGCTTTATAGATAATTCATAACCTGGTGTTTGGGGCTTGCCAGGTAGCTCAGTAGTAAAAAATCTGCTTGCCAGGAGTTTCAGGAGATGTGGGTTTGATCCCTGGGTAGGAAAGATTCCCTGGAGGAGGAAATGGCAACCCACTCCAGTATCCTTGCCAGGATAATCCCATGAACAGAGGAGCTTGGCAGGCTACAGTGCATGGGGTCACAAAGAGTCAGACATGACTGAGGGTCTGAGCATGCACGCGACGTGGTGCTTACACATGTGAGCATCTGGGGAAAGTCTCGAAGAGCTTTCCTTGTATTCCATCAATGTTTCATCTTTCCACTCCCACACTATTCTGGGTCCATTCTGTCCTTACATCTGTTACATGGTTTAATAATGGTGTCAGTTCTGTCCTTACATTTGTTATTAATACATAGTTTAATGTCAGCTTCTCTATCTTCCTGTGGAAAGGGGAACTTCTGAAAGACAAGGGTGGTCTCCTCTGTTTTTAACTCCAAGTCTCCACATAGTAATTGGCACATAGCTAGTGCTAAGTAAATAAATGTATGTTGGATGGAGTGACAACGTTGAACTGGATCTTGAACATTGAGGCTCTGGATAGATGGTTGGGAGATGCAGGTCATCACAGCAAGCTGTTGATACAATAAAATTGAGGAAATGAAATGGTGTTCACTAATAGTGTAGGATTTTGCAACAAAATAACCTTATTTTGTGTTACTAAGCTGTGATGCAGTGAATTTGTGGGATTCATTATGGTAACAATATTGAGAAGAAAATATAGTTAGGCTAGTAAGGGATTTGAATAAGAACATTGGTTGGCACTTTGAAAAGTCTTAATAAATGTAAACTAGGTATTTAAGGATTTTTGCCTTAATCATACTACTGAGAACTATCTTCCTGCACCCCACATAGCCTTAGTACCACTTTCCAGTGGAGAAAATTAGGCTGGTGTTACAACATTTTTTCATGCTTCTTTTTATTGTGTTTGCAGAGGAATGCTACTCTCTAGCTGCCTGTGTAGCATAATTCTAGGATATTATCTCATAGAGGAAGTTTGATCTCAAGTCTGAGAGGGTAGAATCTGTAATCACCATGGCAACAACTTTTTCAGTCTGCACATCACTGGCCATGAACCTAATTACAACACAAACATTATCCTTGAACTAGTAGTAGTGACACAAGGTTTTGGGTGAATGATGGTTCTTTGGAGTCCAGGTAGCCCTAATTTAGAACAAGACAGTGGTCAATCCAGAGTTAACTGAAACAGATGATGAAACGCATTATTTTTCAGCAAGCCCTAGGAATTACAAACACGACATGGGAATATACTAACTTTTGAGTCTCTTGTTTACTTGGTATGGCCAGGTACAAGCCATATTAATGAAATACCAATGAAATATAATGAGAGATATATGAGGACCTTTGTTCAGAAATGTTGTTATTAATTTTTCCTCATATTTTCCACTATCTGTATTCTACAATGTCTCTAGCTAACAGGTAATAATTAAAAATAATTAAACCAGAAGATTTGAATCAATGAGAGTAGAGAATTAATACAGCTGTTTTGAACACCTAAAGCACTTTCTTTCTGTATAGGAATCCCCCTATGTTATGATGAAGAAAAATCATGAGATGCTTGAAGGCAATGAGCGATATGAGGGCTATTGTGTTGACTTGGCTGCAGAAATCGCCAAACATTGTGGGTTCAAATACAAGTTGACCATTGTTGGGGATGGCAAGTATGGGGCCAGGGATGCAGACACGAAAATTTGGAATGGGATGGTTGGAGAACTTGTATATGGGGTAAGTACCACTCTTCTTACAGATAAAACCGTTCCATTTGAACTCTTGTTGAGGGAATGCTTGCCTTCTATGCAAAGTACCAACATCTGAGGTTGTTGGTTTCCCACATTACGCTAGGAATACTGTCTTGTTTCCTTGTAAACATTTGAAGATGAAGGATGAAGTCAGAAGCAAACATACAGATGGAGACAGGTTTCATCTGTCTTGAAGCCTATGGGCCATATGCATTTTTCAAAGATCGCAAAGGCATGGATACAGATGTAGTTCTCATAATCAAGCCAGACGGGTGTTCTCTGTATTTATTGAAAAGGAGGTGTATTTGGGGAACAAATTGATTTTCTTCTGTTTATTATTTCCTGGGATTCCACCAGGGAAATATTCATTCCCATGTCCTGATTTCCATTTATTCAATAGCATAACTACGATTCCTTCCTGACTGGGAGTCCTGGTTCTGTTACTGTCCTTTGTTTCCCTTGCAGAAAGCTGATATTGCAATCGCTCCGTTAACCATCACCCTTGTGAGAGAGGAGGTGATCGATTTCTCAAAGCCCTTTATGAGCCTCGGGATCTCTATCATGATCAAGAAGCCTCAGAAGTCCAAACCAGGAGTGTTTTCATTTCTTGATCCTTTAGCCTATGAGATCTGGATGTGCATTGTTTTTGCCTACATTGGGGTCAGTGTAGTTTTATTCCTGGTCAGCAGATTTAGCCCCTACGAGTGGCACACTGAGGAATTTGAAGATGGAAGAGAAACACAAAGTAGTGAATCAACTAATGAATTTGGGATTTTTAATAGTCTCTGGTTTTCCTTGGGTGCCTTTATGCAGCAAGGATGCGATATTTCGCCAAGGTTGGTTACTCGCCTGCTTCAACTTTGTGCATTTTAGGTCTCGAGTGGACATTCATGGTGTTTATGAATTCACTGTGAAGAAGTTAGCAGCTGCCGGCTGTCTGTCCAAGCAGTGTAGGACTCTTAAGGACAGACTTTTACCACCGGCGTAAGCCTGTGAAATATTTGAGCAATGTTCTTTGAATGTTGGTCCTGTATTTCCCTGGTGAAATTGTACACACCATGGAGAGGCTATAAAATGCATAAGGTTCCTATCATTCCATGCCTTCTTGGAGGGGTACCGTGTTTTTGCTGCATATTCTCATTTTACAGTCATCTGTGTGTTGATCCACAGACCTGTATTTGGGAAAATGGGCAACATTACTTACTAACTAAAAAGCGACAAAACTTCATTTCACACATCCCATCTTTTTGTTGCTGTTGTTGTTATTAGCTCGTGGAAATGATATGGGGGAAATATTTACAAAATTTGTATTTTAAAGGTTAGGTTACTGAGTTGAAAAGAATGTATGATAAAATATTTTCCAAGTATCTAGAAATAAATAGTTGGGATGATGATGACTGATTCATTACAAATATTTGTGCCATATTAAATAGTAATGCACACAGGATGGAATAAATTCATACACCTCCAGTTATATGATATTTTAATTCCTGCCCTATAATGCCTAAATAGAATAAATATATCACATTGCCTTTGTGCATGTTGCATACATAAGTCAGAATAATAGCCATGTCTGGTTCTTTAGAGGTACTTTTCCTGATGTGATTAATTTCACATTTAAAGCCTAAATGATTATTGATCTACTGGCACATTTTAATTTGGGTTTAATTACTCCCCTTTGATTCTATGGGATATCTTAATAACTAGTAGAGGCAGTGGCTTTTTAAATGCTATTTCATTACTGTTAGTTTTTGAGCATTTGGGGGCTAAGAATAATTAACTTCAAAAAGCTATATGTGAAGCTCAGAAAACATTTTGTATCTTTTACAGTCTTTTTGTTTATTCCCCCAGCGAGGTAAAAGAAATATATCACGTTTGCAGAAAGTGTCAATAACTTACTTTTTCAATAGTATGGAATGTCTTTATGAGCTTTGTGAATCTGAAAAGTCTTAATTCCATCAAGCTTTCTGTGGCCTCTCTATGGAACTGCACTACTAAACCAAGGGTATTTGCACTGCATATAGAGAGAGACATAATTTTCACACATAATATATGAAAATAATTATCATATATCAGATATTTATGATTATGATGATCTCTAATAAAACAAGATTCATAGTTCTGTCTCTACATTTAGTTTATCTGATTTACATTAAAGACATGAAGAGAAGTTTCTAATGATGAAAAAGAAAAATACTAACCAGATTGGAATCTCAGAGAACATTCTGGTTCATAAGTAATAAAGAAATGATTCATCTTTGGAAAGAAGGTTACTGAAGTTTGATGTTACCATAGCCCTGAGCTATAAGGCAATTATCCTAGAGTTCCACAAACTATCCTCTGCCTTGTGAATAAGCAGGAGAAGCTTATGAAGTTTCATTATGACATAGGACGTACTGACCTAGGTTCCGATCGATGAACTCTCAGGTTTGTTTGCCTTGTTCCTCATGTATCAGATCCCTGAAGGTCACTCTTTTGGGTGTCCAGTGCTTGTCAGGGAGCAGAAACACATTTACACATAGGGGCTGGAGTACAAGCCACATTTAACCATCTGTGTTTTTCCAGGGCCCCCCGTGACACATTGACATTCAAATTTTTAACAAAGCCTGCTTCCTAAAATATGACCATTTTTATTTGCTTATGGTTTCATTCATGAATCACGACTCACTACACTTTCACATGTAATAATTTTTATTTCCTGGTAAGATATATCAATTTTAGATAACATGTTTGTCCTTGTTATCTTTTATTTGCCATGGGATATATATGTATAGACATATACATATATATGTAAGGAGAATTCACTTTATTAAAATTTTTCAGTATATGTACCTTTCAATTTATGGTTATATGTGCATTTGATAATTGAATATGCTGACTAATATTGGAAAATTTAAGGATTTTTTAAAGGAACCAAGCTATCATGTTTTAGAATGCAATGATGATAATTCTAGGAAAGGATAGAGCAGCTTACTATCTAAAATAATATTAATAGTAATGCATGAAATGCACAGATCACTTTACATATGCTCTTGAAATATTTTTAAAGATATTTATCATCTTTTTCTCAATAAAATATGGTAAAGAACTATTTTATTTATATGAATAGAACACATTGAAATTTTAATATAGAATGACTACATGAAGTGAATTGGTCATTGCTGAAATTAGGTTTAGAGTATAACTATAGTTTTGTGAAGACTATGACCACAGAATTATGAGAGCAAAATGGTGCAAAGTTAACTCTTATTCTCTGGTTTCCTTCTGGTTTCTCCCCCAATATCCTTAAGTGATTCAGATGATTAAAATATTTCATTGTTAAACTAATAATTTAATAGAGATTAGAAAAATGATAGAATATGTATATATACTTGCTGCTTTAGTGCAGACACTGAGAGATGAAAGTTTTGTTTTTCGTAAGAGAAACCATTTTTATCTGTCACATAAAACATAATGTTTAATTTGCTCCTCTACTTAAAATTTCTCAGAAACTCATTCAGAAGCATTAGTTCATCCTTGGAAAATACTTACAAGTAAATAATTAATTGCTCAATAATTTTCTGTTTTGAATGATGCACACGTTATATAAGCTTTGGGGGTTATCTTGCATACTTCAAAAATGAGCATATTTAGTTAAATCTGACAGAAATACTGAATTAGGGAGCAACATTATGTATTTAACTTGTGTTTATCTTACAACTGAGACAGAATGATTTATAAAAATGATTCTAAAATATATTGCAAATAAACCTGCAATGTATACTGTCCAAGGCAATGAGATCCATTTTGTTTTAAGGGCTTCGACTGAATCTGCCCTCTTAAATACAAGGTACATGAGATGACAATTATACATTCTGTTGTGATGGAATAAATAGTGAATATTTTGAGAGTGACTTTGTCTACATAGTTTCTCCAAATCTAAAATGTACTTAATATCCTTTTCAGAATATGTGAGAATTAACTTTTTCCATTCTATCATATTTGTTTAATTTTTTGCATCTCTAAGATACTGGTAAAGGCTCTTCATCATATTGTTTTTATTTTTCATTGACTGTACAGTTTCTTTTTCTGTTTTATTTTAGCAGCAGATGTTTTTATTTAAAAAATCTTTACTTTTAGCTTCACTGCTTTTCTTCACTTCTCGAGTAGTTTATTATACAGATGTTACCTGATAATTGATTCAGTATCTGTGCTTCATCAAAAGGTGTATTTCTTATTATTAATTGTGAGGAAATTTAGTTTAGGTCATAAATTGGCACATTTTCATAATTTAAAGTTTTAGAAGTGTTACCTCTTCACTATAGAAGGATTTATTGTTAGACATAATAGAGTTATTAAGAAAAGAGAAAAAAATAGTTTTTTTAATGTTACTCAAATACCTTTATATGTGGAACCCCACTAAACCTTACCAAATAAAACCTTATATACTACTTCTATATCTACATATCTATACTTATCTATTTCTATACCTACATATCTATACTTACCTATCTAGGATTTAAAGTAAATCAAGCTTTTGAAAAGTATTTTATGTAAGAATTTATGGTCACAGAAATAATTTTATTTTTATTATTTTTCAAACTAGAAATTTATATTTTGGCAAACTTTTAAATGTCTGATTTGTTTTCCTTCAGTTTTCTTTTTTCCTTAAGCAGGAGGCACAAAGGAACAGGGATATCACAGTTCATGCCTGAAGCATCAGATTTTTATGTGTTAAGAATTATATTTTGTGTCATACTCTGTAGTATCATTTTTTTCCATTTATATCCTGTACTATATTTCTAACATCTATGTTTCTGCACATACAAAATCCTAATGAAATTTTGGACCTTTTTTGAGGGTTTTGAAACTTCACTGGATGGATTAAATGGAGGGTTTCTTTGGTGTTTAAAGTCATATCTATGGTGCATACTTTTATTTTTGATATTTGATTTTGTTTGTCAACATTTTTCTGAGTTTTGCTCTTGATCCTAGATCCTCTTCTTTGTTTAGTTATATCATGAGTGGATAAAATATTATAAGCATTGGATAGATTATTCACACATTTCTAGAAATTGCTTGTTACAAGATTACACGTGTAGCCATGATAACTGTGAAAGAATTTCAGAAATCTGAAGTTTTGCCTCTGGATAGCTCATCAGATCTAGTGAATCTGTAATCCTTGCCCAGAAGGTTTAATAATTTCAAGTTTCATGAACTAGCTGATATATTGAAAAATATGAAGTCAAATATTTCCCTATAAATCAACATTTGCATAATACTGCTAACTTGTTTCCTTACAAGGTCGTTCATTTCACTTTACAAATCCATTTCGTACTTGTTATCAGATCCCTGTCTGGGCGCATTGTTGGAGGAGTGTGGTGGTTCTTTACCCTGATCATAATCTCCTCCTACACGGCTAACCTAGCTGCCTTCCTGACTGTAGAGAGGATGGTGTCTCCCATCGAAAGTGCCGAGGATCTTTCTAAGCAAACAGAAATTGCTTATGGGACATTAGACTCTGGCTCCACCAAGGAATTTTTCAGGGTAAGAGATTCTGCTTCATAAGTTCTTGTTTTGGTCTTACAATTGAACCAGCCTAAACTCTGTGCCTCCTTGCCTCTCCCATGGTCTATACAAAGGTGCTGTGTGAAAGTTACTTCCATCTCTGTCTCCAATTCTATTTTTGTTCCTCTTTTTTACATTTTTATTTTATATTGGAGTATAGTTGATTTACATGTTGTGTTAATTTCAGGTATATAGCAAATTGATTCAGTTATACATATACATGTATCTATTCTTTTACTTTTTTATTTATTTATTTTTTAAATTTCTTCTTGAATCAGCCATGCATTTACATTCTATTCTTTTTCAAATTCTTTTCCCATTTAGGTAATTATAGAATAATAGAGAGGAGTTCCCTGTGCCATACAGTAGGTTCTTGTTTATCAAATTTACATATAGTAATATATATCTATTAATCCCCAAATCCCAATTTATCCCTCCTTTCCACCATACCCTATGGTAACCATAAGTTTGTTTTCTATTTCTGTTCTTAACCTTATCTCTAGCCTTCTGTGCTCCCTACCCTCCCTATCCCTATATTTGGCACTATCTACCTTTTTTTGATTTCTGACTCTTTTGGAGAAAAACACTACGTTGTAAAGAAATCTAGTTTTTATAAAAATTAATTTTTCTTCTGGGACAAAATTGAAGCAAGGTCTAGTTAAAATTAAATGATTATTTTTAAAAGAAAATGGTGTTATAGTTTGCTTTATGTTAAATAAGCTTGACTGTCAATTATCTTACATAATTTACAGTTGAGAACTGACCGTCAAATCAGTTATGTTAATTCTATGTCAGGAAATAGATTATCTTCATGTGTGGAAATTCTGAGTTTTCTGTTAAAGCTTCTAAGAAAAGTCTAACAATGGCCTTCAACCTCCTAATTTTTAAAATGGGAATAATGATTATGTGTCTATTAAGTGTATTTTAGCTTTTAAAAGGTCTGTGGCCCTATGTTCTCTGTCTGAAGGAACCAGTCCAATAGGCTGATGGTATAATTTTCTTTCCTTATACTCTTAATGGGATTCTCTGGTGGCTCAGACGGTAAAGCATCTGCCCACAATGTGGGAGACCCGGGTTTGATCCCTGAGTTGGGAAGATCCCCTGGAGAAAGAAATGGCAACCCACTCCAGTACTCCTGCCTAGAAAATTCCATGGATGGAGGAGCCTGGTGGGCTACAGTCCATGGGGTCGCAAAGAGTCAAACACAACTAGGCGACTTCACTTGTTTTATACTCTTATCTCTCTGTAAGAGCTCATTCTATTAAAATGTTGAAATAAAGCAGATAAACTTTGGCATTAAGCCAAATAGATGTCATATGATGATCTGTAAAAATCCACAAGTATCTTTGAATGAATCTGAGATTGAGTGAAGATTAGGGCTTTCAACTTCCAGCTGAAGTAGTACATTGTGGTTTGAGGACTGTCTCAACCTGGATTACCATTGGTGTCTTTTCCAAATAACATCAGTTGTGCTCCAGATGTGATAGGAGAAAAGGTGGTTCTGTCAGACTGCTGACAACAGATAGTAGTTTGGATGTGAGTGGGGCAGCAGGACATTGGTACTTCCTCTAGACACTGCAGTGTAAACCAAGACTGTGGTCCTTTTGTAAGCAACTTTACTTTGACTTTAATGCTACCTGTGAATGTTGCAGTGCAGTTTTGCTGCTAATGACAGTTTACTTCTACTACTGAAAATAGTTGCAATGTGTGTATATTGTAGTGCTTAACATAATGTGCTCTCACCTGATTGTGACATTGATGCTATTAAATAAATTAGAATATTGCATGATTCTCAGCTAGTATATTTTGGAACATTTAAGTGTTATTTGTATCCCAATATGGCTTGCTTTTATTTTATTGATATATTTTATTGGTATTCCTCCCTCTCTAAGTAAATGAGATCTATGAAGGGGCTTGTTATATCATGGTTTACTTACTGCTACTTATGTTGATGAAAATAACCTTGTTTCCAGACACTGTCTGTTGAGAGTTACTCTCATTAGCTTGTTTGGGACCAGCTAGTCTCAATAACTGCACCTTCAGAATCTGAGAGCTTTTCGATATACTCAACCATATATACTCAACCATATACTCAACCATAGATATACTCAACCATAGATATACACACCCATAGAAACATATACCGTAATCAACACATGGCCAAGATTTCATGATTAGAATATGTAAATTTCCCGGGAGACAGGATGAAAAGGCTAGGTAACTCTGGGCAAAGGATACTTCAACTCTTGTGTTTCAGCTCATTAACTCCACAGATATTGTGGTTCCCACGTGCAGTACACACACACACACGCATACACAAACAACCCCGACATATCTGCAGTGTGTCGTTTGCCTACATAGGATTGTGGAGCTTACTTTCTCTGGAGTAATAGAGAAGTGATGTTGATTATCTTATTGTTTTGTTCAGTCCCTCTGTCACGTCTGACTGCAACACCATGGACTACAGCACACAAGGTTTCCCTGTCCTTCACCATATCCCAAAGTTTGCTCAAATTCATGTCCATTGAGTCGGTGATGCCATCCAACCATCTTGTCCTCTCTTGTACCCCTTCTCCTCCTGCCTTCAATCTTTCCCAAAATCAGGGTCTTATCTAATGAGTCAACTCTTCACATCAGGTGGCCAAAGTATTGGAGCTTCAGCTTCAGCACAGTCCTTCCAATGAATATTCAGGATTGATTTCCTTTAGGTTTGACTGGTTATATCTCTTTGCAGGCCAAAGGACTCTCAAGAGTCTTCTCCAACACCACAGTTCAAAAGCATCATTTCTTCGGGACTCAGCCTCCTTTATGGCCCAACTCTCACATCAGTATATGACTACTGGAAAAACCATAGCTTTGACTAGACAGACTTTTGTTGGCAAGCTAAAGTCTCTGCTTTAATATGGTGTCTAGGTTGGTCATAGCATTTCTTTCAAGAAGCAAGTGTCTTTTAATTTCATGGCTGCAGTCAATATCTGCAGTGATTTTGGAGTCCAAGAAAATAAAGTTTGTCACTGTTTCCATTGTTTCCCCATCTATTTATCATGAAGTGATGGGACCAAATGCCATTACCTTTGTTTTTTGAATCTTGAGTTTTAAGCTAGCTTTTTGACTTTCCTCTTTCATTTTCATCAAGAGGTTCTTCAGTTCCTCTCTACTTTCTGCCATAAGGATGTTGTCATTTGCGTATCTGAGGTTATTGCTGTTTCTACCAGCAATCTTGATTCCAGCTGTGCTTCACCCAGCCCAGCATTTCACATGATGTACTCTGTGCAGAGGTTAAATAAGCAGGCTGACAATATTCAGCCTTTACGTACTCCTTTCCCAATTTGGAAAAAGTCTGTTGTTCCATGTCCATTTCTAACTGTTGTTTCTTGACCTGCATACAGGTTTCTCATTAGGCAGGTAATGTGGTCTGGTATTCCCATCTCTTGAAGAATTTTCCAGTTAGTTGTGATCCATACAGTCAAAGGCTTTATAGTAGTCAATGAAGAAGAAGTAGATGTTTTTCTGGAATCTCTTGCTTTTTCTATGATCCAGCAGATGTTGGCAATTTTATCTCTGGTTCCTCTGCCTTTTCTCAATGCAGCTTGAACATCTGGAAGTTCTTGGCTCACATATTGTTGAAGCCTAGCTTGGAGAATTTTGAGCATTACTTGTGCAGAAGTTTGTATATTCTTTGACATTGCCTTTCTTCGGGAGTGGAATGAAAACTAACCTTTTCCAGTCCTGTGACTGCTGCTGAGTTTTCCAAATTTGATGGCATATTGACTGTAGCACTTTCACAGCATCATCTTTTAGGATTTGAAACAGCTCAGCTGGAATTCTGTCACCTCCACTAGCTTTGTTCATAGAGATACTTCCCAAGACCCACTTGATTTGCACTCCAGGATGTTTGGCTCTAGGTGAGTGATCACACCTTCATGGTTATTTGGGTCATTAAGATATTTTTCATATGGTTCTTCTGTGTATTCTTGCCACCTCTTCTTAATATCTTCTGCTTCTGTTAGGTCCATACAATTTCTGCCCTTTATTGTGCCCATCTTTGCATGAAATGTTTCCTTGGTATCTCTAATTTTCTTGAAAATATCTCTAATCTTTCCCATTCTATTGTTTTCCTCTATTTCTTTGCATTGTTCACTTAGGAAGGCTTTCTTATCTCTTCTTGCTATTCTTTGAAATTCTGCATTCAGATGGGTATATCTTTCCTTTTTTTCCTTTCCCTTTCACTTCTCTTCTTTTCTCAGCTCTTTGTAAGGCCTCCTCAGACAACCAATTTGCCTTTTTACATTTCATTTTCTTGGGGATGGTCTTGATCACTGCCTCCTGTACAATGTTATGATCCTCTGTCCATAGTTCTAGACAACCTGATAACTTTTATTAGTATAGCTTCCCAAGGCATAGTCTTATGCATTGTCTCTGAATCTCACAGTATTTCTGTCTGCTAGTCAGAGTGATCATTTTTGTTTGCATGTTGCACATTATTAAACTAAATGTGAGGATTTGACCAAACTCTAGCAGGTAATGTGTGTGCTGAATCTTTTACTCCTAAAGCACTCTTCCTGTACACTGTTTTTCCTTGTGGAGAAAAGTCTCTGGATTTCACTGCTTTCATGCTCTATTTCAATCCCCTCTATGTTTGTTTATGTCAAGTTGGAGGATTATATTGGTAGAAATGCAATCAGTGCCTCACAGTTCTTCTCCATATACCTGCGAAAGGAGCTGTGATGAATCAAGGTGATTAGGTCTCAGTGCATAACGCATTAGTAGTCAGCTTCTCCTTATCTTGAGAAGGAGGGGCATGGGCTCAAAAGTACTTAAAAGCCACACTAGCCTGTTTGTAGCAGCAAAGGAAGGCTAAAAGAATAGCACACATCACCCACATGAACAGGAGCTTGCCATGTTAAATATCCTCCATGAAAACAGGTGTGGTTGTCATTTGAGAAAGTAGTACACAGACTATGTTGTTGTTGTTCACT